GCGGACTGACCAAACTGGCCAGCGTCTACGCTCTGCCCCGGGCCCTCTACGCTCTGGCCCGAGACGGTCTTCTGCCCAAATGCTTTGGCCACATTACATCCTGCAATAAACAACCCACAGTCAGCCTTCTACTGTCCTCCGTTCTCATTATCCTGCTAGCCATCTTTCTGAGGATCGAAGTTCTTGCTGACTTCATGTCGATCGGAGTCATTTTCTGCTACTTCATTGTGGGTGTGGATTTGATGGTTTTTCGTTACCTACATGAACCGGTGAGTGATGACAAGATGGATGAAGGGGATGAAGCCACATTGTTGGCTCTAAGGATGCCAGTACGCGAGTTGGTTGTCTGCAAGCGGACTCTGTCAGTACCGAAACGTCTACAGTTTCGCATGGCATTTAAAATTCTACTCAGCACCTACACCTTCCTTATCCTGAGCCTCTCCTTGTTGATCGAGTTTGCCGTCACTACGAAGCTTATTCTGAGCTTTCTTCTGGTGGGAGTTTTTGCTTTCGCGACTGGTGTTGTCGTTGTGCTTTTGGCCTTTTACAGGCCAGCGGAGAGTGTCGCTGGATTTCAGGCAAGTCTCTTGTTTTTTTTTTAAATTTCGCCATTCTCGATTATATTTTCAGGAAGGCAGTTTGGGTATGATAGGAATATACACAGGTTCTACCTCAGCACATTGACTCAAGACCGTCCGTAATATAGGAGCGTTTGTAGAAGGGGGGTTACGGGCGGGGTTTTGACAAATTTACCGGGAGCTCATTGGGTTATTCCGCCTTCCGATCAGTTAACCAGCACAGTTCGAAAAGGGGCGTGCAGGTTTTTCCTGTCGTATTGTTCTTATTATATGCGGAATGGAATTAAAACAGTAATGCATACAATTAAGCATAAGACGCAAATGTGATTTGCTGGCTATACAGATTATTTCAACCATATCGTCCTTAAAAAATGCAACACATATGCATACGTCCTTTTACTTCCATTTTCGTATCCAAACTGATTTTGGTTCTAAATGCTAGAAGGTATATATCCATATTGACTGAATCATGCTAAGGCAAGCCTTTAAAAAGCTCGTTGGTGCCTTGCCGTTTTTGCTGTTACTTTTCTTCACACAGCACGGTTGAGGGGACTAAGCACGATCGCCAAATTTTAAAACGAAAAGGTGAAATTTCGATAATGAATTGCTCCGAGTGAGTTTCTGAGGCGGGTGGGACAAGTTCGGTTTCTGTCTGCTCTTGGGCCAGTTAGGCCTAATGGCCATCCTCGTAAACAAACCAAAAGTAGCAGCTTTACGAGCCTCCGGTTTTGGCCATCCTATTTCTTATGCTATTTTCTTAGTAGCCGCATGGGTTGTTTGCGAGTGGTCCGACAACCACAGCGGTGGTCGGCAGTGTCATGCAAGCGGGGCCTGGTGATGTTGGCCTAATTACCCTGACCTTTAATTGCTGCAGTGTGTCCTGTTGTACCTGGAGGGGGGGGGAGTACACCACGTCTGCCTTCAGCT